GGCTTTGGCCAGTGGTTCCCTGTGGAGAACTTTTCTTTTCCAGGACATTTGCTGTCCTTCTGGTCAGGGAGGTGAACGTGTGTTCTGGAATCAAGTAGATATATCAGGGCACCCATGGGTCAGTCACGTGGCCCCTTCCCCAGAGTCACCAGGCAGCCAACACTTCCCAGTCCTCAATTTAGAGCTGCAACTTCTCCATTCTTCCGTGGTTAATGTATTTTCTTTCTCTCCAGCCCCATGTCGCCCACAGGGAGGGGAGGACTCGAGGTGGAAGTGGGGAATCAGCAAGGGCAGGCTCTGGGGGCACCCTTGGCTATTCACCCAGAATCTACACCAGCAACTGCTGAGTGAAGGGAGGATGGGAGTTCACCCTTTAAAGATACAACTAGAACCTCATCATAACACAGGGTGCCTTGAGGGTGGGCAGGGGTGGCAGAGGTATGAGGAAGCAGCCTGCTGTGTGTTCAGGGCAGCGGGGTGCGGTGGTTACAAACTCTTTCAATTCTGCAGTACATCTGAAAACATGTAAAACCTTGGGAGAAAGCCTGGAACGGCACTGCTGAACGTAACTGATCCTGCCCGCCCGTCTACCCAGCAGCCAGCCAGTGCCGCTTACCTCTGCTGAGCCTGCTCCACCACATCAATGGCCTTGGTGTGGGGCACAGACTACAGCAGAGGTTTCCAACCCCAGGCAGCAAGTCAGTTCTGCAGTCACACAGCTGGGAGTCCTAGCCACCACTCAGGCCTGCGATCCACCTGTACATGCTGCAGCAGGCAGAGAACGGCAGGGACCAACCAAGAAGACATGCAGCCGGTAAGGCAGTCACCACTGCGGCCCTCCTGAGTCCACACTCGCATCCTGTGCTGTTTCAAGTTCCGCTTTGGTGAGGGGCCTGGCCTGCACCACACTGCGGGAAACTTCACAAATGGGGTTCACACATCTTATAGAATGGAACCGTCCCCAAGATGCCCAGAGGACGTTCTGCCTCTGGGAACCTTCCAAACAAGTGGGAGGGTAGGGGGTGCCCCAGAGCAGCAGATGCCCCACGGGTAGCTAGTCATCTGTGCACGAGAGGTGGCCCACCCTGGGTTCCAGACATCACAGGAGCCCTGCTCCTAAAGCACGACTGTATGATGGGCTCCCTTAAATATGAAAATGAAAGATCTGGGGAAATAATTGTGGGGAGGAGGGGAACAAAATGGAGGGGAGGAGGGGAACATGCCTGCTCTGATCCTCTGCCCACCAGGAGGCAGTGGGGGCTGGGATTGGGGAAGGGGCTGGTGAAAAGGAGAGAGGAGCTGGGTGGCTGCTCTGCTGGACAGACCCTCAGTCCCTTCCACCAGGCTGACTGTGCTGACCACTGCAGGTCCTAGACCCAGTCCTCACCTCGCTCAATTCAACTTTCCATCTGCAAAATGGGGTGACATGCCCCTCCAGGGTCACAGGAAAAGCAGACCACCAAGTGAAGACCTTTGAGTGCAGGAACCATTCTAGAAGAAGGCTTTATGCCACATCCCCACCTACCAGTACACAGGCATGGGGACCTCCACCTGCCACCCCTGAACCCCAAATTCCCCAATTCAGGGGCCTAGCAGACTGCTACCTTTCATCCCTCAAACCCCCATTCCAGACCCAGGGAAGACCTCTACCTGCCAACTCACAGACCCTGAGGCCCCAGCCCACACACCCAGGATACCTCCAACTGCCATCTCCTTAGGTCCCAAACCCCCAGTCCATGGCATGGGCCTAGGAGACCACCTGCCTCCCCCACTCATGGGCACAGGTGCCTTTGTCTTTCAGTCCCTGGACCTGGAAGACCTGAGAAACTTCTCTTGGCTGAGCCTGCTTTCCAGGTAAGGAAACTGCAATCCACAGAACCTCTTCACCTCAAGTCCCCAATGTACACTACCTGTCCCCCACCAGACTTTCCACCGCAATGCACAGCCAGGGTGGGGCAGGGAGGAGCCATGGTTCAGGAACAGCAGGGGTTTCAGACTGCCTTCCAGGGATGCTCCAGGAACCACCAAGACCTGGTAGATAGGCAGTGGGCCCAGAACCATGACCCTAACTTTGTACAATTAGCCTTTGCTCATGTCCTCACTACTCAGCCTGCAGACCCTTGCTTCCCCTTGATGAGCAGTGGTGGCACCAAGCCTCACTGCCCCCCCATCCAATCCAAAGATCCCAACACTCCTTGCTGAGGCAAGGCTCTACAGATGATACCCCCCAGCTATCCTGTCCTTCTGCCCACCAGTTTCCTCCAGCCTTTCTTAGGGGAACCTCCATACCCCTCAACTGATGTACTTTTCCTTGGTACCAGTTATGACCCTTTTGTCACAATACACAAGTAAGTCATAAATAAGTGGAAAAACAACAGAAAAAACAAAGGGAATGTACTTGATGCAAATAAGATACAAACCAGAAACAAACTCTATGGAGCAGATAGGACAGTGGAGAGGACAGACCCCCATCTGTCCACCTCCTGCTGCTACTCCTACTCCTCCCCCAGCCCCCAGAATGATCCCTCCCATCCCAAATGCTGAGGGGCGCACAGTCTCACCAGGATGGGCTCCTCCCCCAGTCCCCACCTCCCCCAGCAAGGCCAGGCCAGTCTGCAGGGTAAGAACAATCATCACTTGTTAATATTTTATCTGGAACTTTGAACCATAGGTCTGCCCTCCCTCCTGGCACTCTCCCGGGGCCCAAAGGGCCCCCAAACCCTGACCTCATTGCTGGAGATCAGGTAAATCAGTTATCTTTGACACTAGTCTGCTATGGATAAGAGGTACAGTGATGGGGAGAGGCAGGTCACTGGCTTAGCCCCAGAGAGGGATCGCTGCCTAGGTCTTGGTCTGCTGAGTCTCAGATTCCCCAAATATGAAAGAACTCTCAGGAATTTCTTGGAGAATTCAAAACAGTGACCGGCACATACAGGAGATATACTGAAAGTGAGACCTCCTCACCTATAGCAATTATGCTTGGGGTTCACACCAGACCAGGCTATGGTCCAGACTGGTCTCCCAGGTATCTGGAGCTTAGAACAAAACAGAACTGGGACACTTCTAACAGGATGAGTGCACCCCAAATCTCCCAGGGGAGAACATCAAGGCTCCAGGGAGGTCAAGGAGCTTCTTCCATGCAGCAGTTCTGTCAGTACCTTGGCAGGGGGCTATCGCCTGCCTGGGGGCACATTGGTCCTATTCTGAGTCCAAGTGCCTCACTCTGGTCCTCAGACTCTCTGTAAACTGGGTTGGGTGGCGTGGTAGGGGGATGCCCATAGACCAGGCCCCCTCATCTGCCTGCCCACCAGGTCCTTCCCCCAAAGTCCAGGTCCTTCCCCCAAAGTCGTTCCGGGGGTGGGGGTGGGGGTGGAATCATCTCCAGCCTCTGGAACCTCAAGTCCTTACTCCCACTCCACAAGGCCAGGTTCCCAGACAATCTTCCAGATCAGGGAGTACTACTGGTGAGGGAGTGTTGCCCAGGGGGCTGGGCCAGTGGAAGCCGCAGGCAGTGCAGGGCCTCCCTCCCAGTTGGTCCTTCAACAAGCACTTAAGCCCCTGCTAAGTCAGCTTCCCACACCTGTCCTCCTCCCTTCCCCCACTGCCAGGGGAGAGGAGGGAAGAATCTGGACCCCATATCTGCTCTGGGAAAAGCAGAGGAACACACCCATTTTAGGTATTTTGGGAAAAACATACAATCCGCTGCTCTTTTAGACAGTGCTAAGCTGCCTCCAAAAGACCTCCCCCCGCCCATCACTTTATTTCACAGTCCCACAGGCAGAGGTGGGTGCCCATTTCACAGCCCATGATGGGAGCAAGGGGTGGAGGAATTCAGAGCTCAGTATTAGCCCAGGGCTAAGCTAGCAGGGCTGGGGTGGTGCCCTTGGCCCTCCCTAACACTTTCTGGCCTTGTCCACAAGTATGGGGGCAGGTTTACAGCACCAATCACTTAGTACACAGGGAAACAGAGGCACAGTACAGAGAGACTCACCCCAGGTCAGAGAGGTAGTCCCACCTGGAAATTCTAGGAAGAGCTCATGAGGCAGAGACCCCTAGGGCTCAGATATGGAAAATGAGCTGTGACAGTCTTTTGTGTGCAGACACAGCAGGGCCTCCCCTCCCAGTCCTAGCTGATTTTGGGCAAGCACCTCACTAGGCATCAGCCTGCTAGGGAAGGGGGGGAGGGTCAAACACAACAAGCTCACCCCACCGGGCTGGGGCCTCAATTCCTGCACTGGAGTTGTGCAGCTGCTCTGCTCAGTGGCAACTTCCTGAACCTCAGTTTCCTCACCTGTGAGAGGGTGGATGGCGTCATTGTTTCAATCCTGGCAGGCTGCACCCCTGAAATGACCTGGGCCAGCCTCCCCCTCCAGGTCCAGCTTCCACCCGTGCACAGCAGACTCCAGCACCTGGCCTGGGGCACATATGTGCCAGACCCTCACGTCCAGTAGAGAGAGGGAGCAGTGTGCCCACAGGCGAGTCTCAGCGAGGCTGCGGCACTGCTCTGGTTTCTGAAAGGGTTGGCGTTAGGCGCATTCTTGGAGCAAAGGGGGCATGAGAAACCCGGGCTTCAGACTCATTACTACGCCTGAGCCAGGGCACGAAGAAGAAAACTCTTCAGAACATTCTTGAAATCAAACAATTCAAGTAAAATAACAGTTGGTCCTCCTGTCCTTGCTGAGATCCTGGGGCCTTGGAGGCCCCGCGACGGCGGCAGCCGCTTCCTCCTCCCAGACTCAGTTTCTCCATCTATGAACTGGGGTTGGGGAGACCACCCAGGAACCAGGGGCACCTCCCGCAAGGTCTGGCAGGTTGATTCACCCAGTTCGCAGCACCGACTTCCACCCTCCTCCCCTCCCCGGCGCCGAGCCTGAACTATTTGGAGCCCCCACCCCCCAGGCGGTGCGTCCCTCCACCCGACTGTGCGCCCCCACTCGCGGCTTCCCTGTCGGTGAAACGGGCTTAGAACCCCTCTCGCTGCCCATGGCCCCTGACCTCACCTGTGTTGTTCGTCGGGGCTAGGGTAGCGGACCACGCGCGCCCCCGGGTCCTCGCCCGGCGGTGGAGGGTCCCCGCAGCCCAGCGCATCCTACGCGATCTTCGCGCTTGGCCCGCACTGCCCGGCAGGGGCCGACGGGGCGGGGCGCCTCCGGACCCGCCCTCCCAGACTTGGGGGCGGGACCGGCCCCTGCGGGAGCCCGAACCCACCAGGAGGCTGAGCCCCGCCCAGAAGGAAGAATCTCTCCCCCCCGCCCAGAAGGAAGAATCTCTCCCCAGCCTAGCGCGCGCGGCAGTCTTTGCCCGGCACCTCTCGGGCCAGGTGTCCTGAGGTGAGCCGCACATGTGAGCCCTATCGGTGGCATTGTGGGCCAGGACCCTTGAGCTGGGTGCTGATGTTGTAGCTCCTCACTGATCCCGAGGCAGGATGCAGAACTCTGGGGTCTGGCCCAGGACGCCCGTGCACACACCCGGTGGAGCTGCACTCTCCAGGTTCACCCTCAGGCACAGCTCTCTCTGCAGAGGCACTGGCTGGCGGGCCCTTCTTCCCCCACCGACGCCACCCGCCTAGCCCAGGCTCTCCGCTGTGGGCTGTGGCCAGGCTACCCAAGGGCTCACAGACCAAAAACCTGAGCTAGGCGCCTCAGGGAGGATTCTGAGCACTTGCCCCGCCCCTGCAGCGCTGGAGGAAGCCGTCTGGTTCTGGCAAACTACGGCTTAATGCAAAGGCCCTAAAGTCAGAATATTTTGGGAGATTGAGGGAGAGCCAGCGGGCCTGTGTGGCTGCCCCAGGAGGTCCTGGGAGGAGGGCACAGGTGAGTGGGGTTATCTCTGGAGGGCTTGGCAGACGGCAGGAAGAGGTGATCTCATGGGACCAGGGAGTAGAATTCCAGGAAGGCAACCCCTCCATACCTCTGCTTTCTGAGTGTGCTGGAAACTAAGGTTCAGTGTGATAGTAGGTGAGCCCTGCCCTTTTCTGGGGCAGGATTGCTTTCATCCCAAAATATCTTGTTCCTACTTCAGATTATGGGCCACATAGGGAAGCCAGGGGAATACAAGCACCCATAGAAGCCCTGGTCCCTCCAGACCACAATTAGGGATCACAGAACTCCCTGCCAAATGGTTCTAAGCCAATGTCTGAGGCATACATGACTGTTTGGCTCTGTCCAGCCCCCTGTGCACATGGCTGGGCCCAGGGCAGCTGCTTGTGGGTACATGGACAGGGCTAGGAGAAGAGATCTGAGCAAGGTAAATTGAATTACAGGATGGGGTCTGTTAGCAAGCTGCCCACATCACCACGCTCTGGCCCAAACTTCCAGGACCCCAAAATACTGAATTTGAGCCTGACCATTTAAGTCAAGGCATGTAGGGCTGCGGTTACCAGGCACCACAGGCTGGACCTTGCAGAAATAGAAGTCTAAGATTAGGGCCCCTAACCCTTAAAGATGCAGGAAGGCTCTGTCCTAAGCCCATCTCCAGTTCCAGCGCTTCCTTGGCTGTAGTAGAACGGCAGTCTTCACAAGCCATTTTGTTGCTACTTTCTTTGGTTTCATGTTTTGTGTGTTCAAGCATGGGTGTTGGGCCCGCATTTGTTAGCTGGGGGTGGACTCATACCTCTGTCACGCCCTACAGGAAACCATAAGCCTTGTCACGCCTCAGAACACCCACTTGCTGCCAAAGCAGTCTTCAGAAGCAGTGAGAGGCATCTGGGCTTGTTTTTGGAGGTGGAACCTTGACTGTATGAACTGTGACCCGGTCAGAATAACCATTTCTGAGGCCTCCTGGGAAGCCCCAGAAACACTAACCACATGCAGGAAGGGAAACTGAGGCCCACAAAAAGGAAAGCACTCACCCACCACAGATGATGGACCTTCCCAGTCATTCCACTTGCCCTGACCCCGTACCCCCTCAATCCATGGCTGGGACTGTAGTTGTAACAGGCCTCCCCAAAATGGCCCTTAATCTGAGGGACAGAGAGACCGAGGGAGAGTGTCACACTTGTGGATGAAGCAGTGCCGTGAACATACCCTCATACCCTTCTCCCCAACCCCAGCTGTCCCAGATGCCCTGGATCTCAGACTCTCAGTGTCCTGCCCAGCATAGGAGCAGTGCCAGAGCAGCGCCTGAGCTGTGCCTGAGCTGTGCCTGGCTGCTATCTCCTTGGCCTCCAGGCCTTGACCTCCTCCAGAGATCCCTCCATGACACCCTGCCTGACCCAGCCTTGCTGTGCTATATTACCTAAAGGCCTGGCAACTTCTGTGACAAGGAGAGGAAAAATTATCCCTGGGAAGGCAGAGGACATTGGGGGGAAGTGTGGGGTGTCTAGGTGGAAGGCAAGAGAAATCTAGCACACATGTGCTGAACTGGCAGAAGCTTTGGCTTCTCTGTGTTTGAGGGTCTGGCCCCTACCTAGTACCTGCTCCCCATCTCAATTTGCAACTGAGAGCATCTAGTAACTTCAAAGGAGTCTTTGTTGAGGTACTGGACCAGGGAGGTCAAGTTGCTGGAGTGTGGGGGTGGGTCTTCATCTTTTGCTCTGTAAGGTTGGTGCACACCGGCACTGCCAGAGATTTAGGAAGGTGAGGATATGGCATGGAGTTCCTCTTCCCACAGGCTTACGTGAGGCCTTTTCTGCCCTTGAGTGTATCCACCTGCCCTAGTGCCTGGGGAGACCATGCATAAGCATGGTTGGAGGGAGTTATTGGTGTTCCCCTCAAATTAGGTAATAAGTGTAGGACTGTCAAATGGTTTTTATTTTTCTTTAAATATTCTTGATTTTTTTCTTCCAGTCAATAGAAAAATGAGATTTTTGTCCTAAAAACCTCTAAAAATAGGCCAAGTCTAGAAACTTCTATTGCAAAATAAGAGTCAAGTAGGATGACTCAATGGCTTTGTCCTTTTCCTTCCTCCCTCCCTCCCTTCCTTCCTCCTCCCTACCTACCTCCTTCCTTTGTACTTTTTTTTTTTCAATTTCATCCTTTTTTTTGAACTGGTATTTTTTTTCCTCACTACTTTTCCTTATAGTCTTTCTCCCTCCTCTCTTCCTCTTAGCCCTAGAAAAATTACTTCGTTATTAGTGTCCACTAGTTTTTATAAGTATTTTACTTTGCTTATGGTCCGCTATGGAAATATCCAGTATTTGTCATTCTCACTTACTTTACTATACATAAGTTCCTCAAACACCTGTCATTTTGCTGTAAATGGCAGTATTTCATCTTTCCTTATGACTGAATAGGATTCCATAGTGTGGATATAGCACATCTTCTTAATCCAGTCCTTTATCAGTGGGCACTGAGGTTGCTTCCATGCCCTAGCTGCATAATTAGTGCTGCAATAAACATTGTAGGGCAAATAAATTTCAGAATTGATAGTTTCATGTTCTTTGGATAGATAGATGTCCAAGATGGAATTGCTGGATCATACAGTATTTTCATTTTTAGTTTTTTAAGGTAAATACAGATCATTTTCCATAATGGCTGTACCATTCCCACCAAAAGTGTTAATAGGGTTCCTCTTTCTCCACATCCTCTCCAACATTTGTTGTTAGGTTGTTTTTTTTAATATGTGCCATTCTCACAGGTGTGAGATGATATCGCATTGTGGTTTTAAACTGCATCTCTCTGACTGGAAGTGATAATCAACATTTTTTCCTATGTCTGTTGGTCTCTGGATATCCTCTTTGGTGAATTGTTCATATCTGCTGCACAGTTATTAGTTGGGTTGTCTGGTCTTTTTACATATCTTGATGTTAACCCCTGCCTCTTTATTTTTAATTACCTTTATAAATTAAAAGCAGTGAAAAATTTTTTGTATTTTTATGTCTCTGATTAGGTGGGCATTTGGGGAAAAGAGAATTTTTTTCTAAAACTGTTTTCAGGCTATCTGGCATCCTCCAAGCTCACACACTGATCCTCTACCACACACAGGAAGGCAAGGGCCTAGTCACCCTCTGCAGGGACCCCTGCATGGAGCCCTCGCCCCACCAGGGCTGTCTACCCTGTCCACAGCCTGCACAAGTGAGGCTTTCCTTGGCTTTCAGAGGGAACACAGGTAAGTCACTGCAGGTGACATCAAACCACCACACATAGGTTCACAGTGCTGACTCAGAAACTTGCAGCAAGTTTCTGAGAGAAAGAAAGAAAGCCTCCTGGGAGAAAGTGGGCCCAGGACCAAGGGACTTCCCCAGAGGAGGGAAACAGCTGAGGGATTCAGGGAATAGATCCAAGCAGCACTTTCTGCATGCAGGGCCAGCTGGGGAGCCAGGGCACAGCTGGCACACGGGAGGAACACAGCCAGGCATGGCAGGGGCAGAGCCTGGACGGGCTGCTCCCAGGCCCCCCTGCTTCACAGGGACCATGGCTCATTATTTCCTGTCTCGGCTCTTGTCTGTCTTGCCTGACATTTCTACAATTAATGTATGTCTACGGTCTAGTCAGAAAACAGGAAGCTAATCATAATTTTAAGGCTGGTGCATGAAATGATTGCAAACATTCTGAGTTCTACCTGTCACAAACGAAGTGGACTCACCCCCATTTTACACACGGTGGAATTGTAGCTCAAAGAAGGAAGTGTCCTCTTCAAGGCCACTTTCTCGCTGCTTGATAGGCTTCTATCTCATGCTGTGGTCTCATTACTCACTTGTAATGACGGGCTTCAGCTGGCTCCTTATTGGAGGTGGCAGGGTGGGCGGAGGATGCTTTCAGAGTCCAAAGCTGCTCCTAGGGAGATGAGCTCCCTGGGAAGCCAGCAGTAGGAGCGCACAAATGGGTCAAGAACAGTGCCTAGGCTTAACACTACTGAGCCAACTAAGCTTCATTGCTCCTGCCACCTGCCCACTGAGTGCCTTGCCATCACTAGAGAAGTGTACAGCCTGCCCCCCATTGCTGCTCCCTGCTGGCTTCCCCTTTTGACCCCCCTTCCCAGCAGAGACCCCCATGACCTTCACGAGTCCCTTCTCTTAGGAGTTTGCTCTTCACCCTCCTGGTGAGCCTTGGGTACCCATCTACTTCCCTTGCTCTCCCTGCTCAAAGCTCTCAGTTCAAGGCCCCAGGTGGTACCCCAGAAGCCCAGGTTGAGGCCTTAGGGGAAGGCATTCTTGGAA